ATATACCATATCCATTTGTAATTAAATTAAGCAAAACTGTTAAATTGAGCTGTGGTAAAACAGCAAACTCTAATTTATGTATATACATTATTTAACAATTGTGACTGTTTTACAGGAGGAGGAGGAGGAGGAGGAGGAGGAGGAGGAGGAGGAGGAGGAGGAGGAGGAGGAGGAGGAGGAGGAGGAGGAGGAGGAGGAGGAGGAGGAGGAGGAGGAGGAGGAGGAGGAGGAGGAGGAGGAGGAAAGATATTAAGAGTTGCAAAAAAGGAAATAAAGACTCAGTCTGTCAGTGATAGGGTTCATGTGGTTTAGCTTGACTCACTCACTCCATGACGGTTCGACTGACCTTTCTTCTCATCTTCACTGGACTTACAGGTCAGGCACAAGACTCACAACTTAAAAACATCTTTTATGTGTATGCTGGAGTGAATTTCTAAAATGTCAAGGCTTTAATGACGACATTTCTTTAAACATGAGCTAATATGAACATCAACATTATTTAGGCCATCTAAAGGAAGAGTATTGATCATTTTTTATTTACCTTTTCATAATAATAGGCTACTTATTGTAAGTCGCTTTGGATAAAAGCGTCAGCTAAATGTAATGTAATAATGTTGGGTTTGCTTTTGTTGCAGGAATTCACAGCAGGAAAGTGTCAGTGAGAGCTGGAGGTTCGATCACTGTCCCGTCTCTATGAGCCACAATATAAAAACCATGTGAAATACTTGTGTAAAGGATATACTTGGGACTTCTGTTCTTATGCAGTTAAAACAAACAAACCAAGCAGTTCAGGAAAGTTTTCGATCTCTGATGACAAAAGACAAAGAGTCTTCGCTGTGACTATAAATGACCTGACTGAAGAGGACACTGGTTATTACTGGTGTATGGTGGAGATTAATGGAGGATCAGATTCGGGAACACGTTTCCACCTGTCAGTCAACCAAGGTAAGATCCAAATGATGTATTTGCCAGATTTAACAATATTAAACATGTATTTAAACACCAGGAGCATGTACCAAATACGCTGCTTACAAGTTTCCATTGAATTATGTTTCCATTAAGACACACCACCAGATGATGACAGGATTCAGTGGAGAAGAAATAACCATAGATTATCACGATCATAACGTTGGAGAAATACAGTGGTGCAAGCTGGGCAGCTCCTGTGTGACATGGCCGAATGGAGTGTTAGATAACTCAAGAGTCACCATCAAAGTCATTAATTCCCGTGTTTTCACTGTGACTCTGAGCGGACTGAGGACAGAGAGCAGCGGCTGGTATGTGTGTGTTAAAGGAGACTTACAGATGCCGGTGCACATAACTGTTACTGAGAAACAGCAGCAAAGGTGAGCGATTTTCTCGTTATCATGCTAATGTTGACTGTTTATACAAGTCTGTCATTCACATTACGTTTATTTATTTATTCCTGCCGCAGTGTTTCAGGGAATTTAGAGAGCTTCATCATCCCTTTGAGTTTGCTGATCTTCATTGTTATGGTGGCCATGTTAATCTGGTTTATGTTCAAAAAGCACCGTAAATCTATGCCGAATTATGCTCAATCCAAATAATAGCATTTTTGTTATTGTGCGTTAATCATAAATATATTTACTATTAATGCAGATAACTGTGCATTATTGTCACTAAAAATACTTTTTATCGCTTCACTTTTAGGACAGACCAAAGAAGAATCCCCAGCCACAATAATTGTAAGATATGATCATTCATTTCCAAATGCAATATTTTACAAGAAAGGAAATTGGTATTAACTTATTTCACACTGCAGCAATTCTAGATAAAATACGATTTTACTGTACTGTCCCCAGGGCCGGCTCTAGACCCCCCCCCCCAGCCAGATAGAAAATAGAAAAGATAAAGATCGATGGAGTATCCAAGGAATACACAATATAATGGGGGATGGACGTCACATCCTCTAGGGGGGTCCGGGGGTATGCCCCCCCGGGAAGAGATGTTTTAACATTTGAAAGTAAAATGCTTCAATCTGGTGCACTTTGAGCAGAATTACTAGAGACTAGATCTAGGGGGTACAACTCTAAACACCCATATGAAAAAGATCGGTTTCAAATAAGTATGTGAACATAACCAACAACCTACCATAGCCAATATAAAATAAATGTAACTTATTTTATTTTTGTTCTTCATTCATATCTTATTTTACCTAGTTAACATTTATTTATGCATATTTTTTTATCTCTCCAATTTAAAACGATATGTCTGGTTTAATGTCCTAAAGTATACATTGGAATGATTTCAAACCTGTTTTATCCCAATAATTATAAAGGAGTGCCTTGGAAATATTTGTTTACATAAATTGTGATCAAACCGTTTGAGACCCACTGAGATAACTTAGACTAAAGTGAACTATCTAAACCCTCAGAGTCCTTTACCTCACTGAGCTGTAGTTATCAGCCTCTCAGTCTGACTTTAGAGGACTCTCCCTCCACATCATTGTAGAAACATCTTCTTCGTATATCCGTTAGAGCAGCTAGCACCAGATGCTAATAACAACAGCGCCAGGACCGGTGCACCCTCCCTTTCTCCCTCGCTCGCACGCTCACTCACACTTTGGCTGTGAGCTGCGGGTGCCTGATAAGTCAACATCTCCCACTTTCATCATTTACAGCGCCCATCGTACGCGGCAAATGAAATGTAACCGGGGTGAAAAGGGTGTTACATTTACTTAATTATGAATATTGTCACATCAAGGCCGAAAATTAGGATGAGCACAATCGGTCCAAAAAAAAGTCCCCAGATCTGGCGCCCTAGGCGAACATCTATAACGCCAGTGCTACGGGCCGGCCCTGACTGTCCCTTTGAAGCTACAATGAATCACTGTAGACATCACATTAATACTTATTACATATGATGTATATTGTCATAATTACTAATTACTCTTATTCATACTTTCTTTGTAAAAGGACAATAGACCTATCGCTAAGCCACGCCCCCTTTGAAAACTCGGACAAACAAAGCCGACCGTGAATGACTCTTGACAATGGCCGCGGGGGGAGTTCAAGTTAAAATAACATTAAAATAGAAGCAAGAGCTAATAGAAGCAAGAGCTAATAAAAGCAACAGCAGATGAAAGTTAACAGTTAAAAGCAAGAGTAAAAAGGTAGCCATGTATTTCTTTATATAAAATATCTAATCTTGTTGCCTGTCGTGTGTAGTGGTGACTGTTGTGTAACCATTGAAAGGATAATATGATGTTGAATGTTAGCAGTGGTGGTCACTACATTAAATCTATAACTATAACTGTCCTTGTTGGTCATCATTTTCACTGTTATGCACCTGGCTGACTGTAGCGTTACCTTTTTTTGGGTGAGGGTCTGTGTCTTTTCGGAGCAGCACACACGAGAGCCCGGATGGGATCTGATATTCCAGAGTTGGCTTCCCATCTCTGAAGTGCTTTGAGGTGAAAAGACAGTTAGCAAAAGTTAGCTAAAAACACCAGCTAACTAGCGAGGACGAAAAGTCAGACAGCAAACGTTGATGTTGATAACACTGTAGCTAGTTAGCTGGCTAACAAGTTGGCAGCTAACGTTAGCTAGCTAGTTGGCAGTCAAAGTCAATCGTTAGCAAACTAATAGTTTGGTCTACGTTTCTAATACATACCGTCAAATATGATGTCTTTATGAATTGACCTTACCTTTGAGCAAACATAAGTGTCCTTGATAATTGTCTTCACATTCAGTTGTGTATGTGGTTGACGACACAGCATAATCCACCGCTTGCATTTGTCGAGTTTTGTTTTGGACTTCGGAAAAGGTACGAAATATACTCCTCCATCCAGTCTTTCAGGGTACCTGGTGTCCGAAATTACAGGTACCCCACGCACAGCGTTTCACCATCAGATATTAGCTAGATAATAAACATAGAAACTGAACTCTTCACAGTGGTTTCGATCACAGACGTCTGGTTTTGGTTTGATGCGCCCCACAAACGGCTTTTCTGGTGATGTCCGAGTTTTCTGTCAGGAGGGATTTTCGCTGTGATATGATTGGACAAATTCTATTTGGGGCGTGGTTTAGCGATAGGTCTATTGAACATTAGGCTTTTGGTTCATATTTGCCATTCAAATTCTGTCCTTTGCTCTTTAACACAGTCTAATGCGGAAGTAACATACAGTACTGTCAAGAGAAAGACAGGTCAGGTAAGACACTGTGTAAAAATGATTGGCACAGAACATTACACATTTGAATAAAAAACTATTCAGAGTAAGGTTTTGGGTAAACTCTTATGGTGATTCAAATGATCATCCGTTTACCCTAAAAAGGAAGAATTGTTCATGTTCATGTTGATGGTTTGCAGCTTGGTCTCGCTGAAGAGGAAGTAACATACAGCGATGTTAAACGCATGAGAAGAGCTTCAGAAAAGGTCTTAACCAATAAAAACACAACTTGCATTTCACAACAGGATTACAGAAGTAGAAAGATAAGATCTCTCAGGCAGCATTTATTATTTCATCATAAACATTTGTTTTTATGAAGCAAAGTTAAATTGTTAAATTGATCTGAACGTGTCTGTCTCTTCTTTCTTCCACAGTGGTCAGAAGCTAGATGTGGACGTGATGTACTCCTCTGTGGTCGCTGGAGAACGTCAAACTAAACAAAGGGTACGTTTTCATTTACATGTTGTATTCTATGGTAATAGTGAAGCCTGAACATCTTCAGGCGAGGTAACCCTTAACCATTAAAACCATAACTTGTACAGCACAAAATAACTGCACGAAAGAGCATAGGCCTATAGGTTCATGTATTTTAACTTTCAAAATAATCAACTTTTAAATGTTCAGCTGCTAGTATTGAATACGTAGGGTTTATGTTTGATATTTCTTCAGTCATTTCATTTTGTATTCTGTTCTGCAACAGGTTGAATGTAACAAAGAGCAGCATGGCTAGTTCCAGGAAACTTGAGAATGTTACCCCGACCCTTGATTCACTGGAACTTCTTTTGTGATGACGTTGTTGCAACTTGCCATCATGTGCTCTTTGGTTTTGCAGAACCCTCTTACTTCTTTTTTTGAGGGTTTGCATCTTCTGCTTTTAGTTATCTCCCCTACACAGCTGCTAAATATATATATTTTAAAGTATTGACTTGGACCTTGTTTCCCACGATCACCTTCAATTCAAGAGTCAGGTTTGTTTCTTCTAAAATCCATCTAACAAACCTCTCTTTTGCATTAACAAAAGCTTTCTACACTCTTGATGTTGAAAATTAGGTTTCAGAACCAAAAAAAACGTTTATTTTACCATAATGTTCATTATGTGATGTTTGGTGTAAAAATGTATGATATTAAATAACAAAAAATTAAACATGCAACCGAAAAAATTAAACAATTGATCTGCCAGTTGTCTTCCTCCTCTTCTTATTTTCCATGGAAACGCATCCCTTGCCAAAAAACACGATGTTGTCGTAACTGATATGAAAATGGTCAAAACACCACCAGACTGCAGATGACAGTTAATGGTCCAGCCCTCAACATGTCTATGTGCCATTATTGAGTTTTCCTCAAAAGCTGTTGCCATGGCAACGCATCCTTCGCCGTAAAACACGATATTGCTATAACTCCTATGAAAATTGTCAAAAAGTGCTCAAACTTCACAGTTCAGCCGTGAAGACATCTACGTGACGGTTTTGACATTTCTTCAAATGCCGTTGCCATGGCAACACAATGCTCGCTATGAAACACGGTTTTCTCATAACTTTTGCCACAATCAACAACCTGATCAACTCTATGCGAAGGAGATGTGTTGCACTGCGTGAGGCAAATGGTGGTCACACCAGATACTGACTGGTTTTCGGACCCCCCCAATAAAGCAAAACTGCACGTTTCAGAGTGGCCTTTTATTGTGGCCAGCCTAAGGCACACCTGTGCAATAATCATGCTGTCTAATCAGCATCTTGATATGCCACACCTGTGAGGTGGGATGGATTATCTCGGCAAAGGAGAAGTGCTCACTATCACAGATTCTTTCAGATTTGTGAACAATATTTGTGAGAAATGGTTATTTTGTGTATAAAGAAAATGTTTTATATCTTTGAGTTCATCTCATGAAAAATGGGAGCAAAAGCAAAAGTGTTGCGTTTATATTTTTGTTCAGTGTATATCAAACCCATTTTCTCAGTGCCTTTCAAATTGTCATCTCTACTATAAAACCAGATGGGTGTGTTTTGCAGGAGCAGCCACAGCGTACGGTATCGGCTTCACGGAGGTGAGGTGGGATCAGTGGGGGGAGCTGGCTCTCGGGGGTTTCTCTGGCCTCGGAGCAGCAGCACTCTTCCTCATGACCTTCATCAGAAACATCTGGGTCTGCTACGCCGGATACATCGTATTCAAGTGCCTGTACATGCTGCTGATAACAATAGCCATGTAAGAGGTGTCTTATCAAAAGGGAGACGTGTTTATTATTGCAGGCAGAACAGGAAATCGTGCATTTAAGTAAACAATCCTTCTCTTTTAGGTACCAGATTGCAGCCGACCTGACGATGGAGAGGTATGCTCTGGTGTTTGGAGCGAATAACTTTGGAGCGTTGGCTCTGCAGACCATCATCACCTCTGTGGTGGTGGACAGCAGAGGGCTGGGCCTGGGCATCATTCCTCAGGTGAGGAGGCAGATCAGAAAATGTAACTCAGGTCTTCTGCAGATGAAGTGATGGTCTGTTTTTTGTTGCAGTTCACCATATACGCCAGCTACTTCTCACTCATCGCTGTCGTTTTCTCACTTCGGGGACTTTTTACCATTTGGAGAAGCGACAAAGAGCCCACTGCTGCCGTCAGAAATGACGACACCTTATCCGTTTATGCTTCAAGCCTTGCACCTTATCTGTAAATATTGATCTTATATGAATGAAAAAGCTTGACGACACAAATTCTGAAACTTTGCAGAGTTAAAAGCTTCAAATTACTGACTGCAACACCATGAATATAAATCTTTTTTTTTTTTTTTATATATATATACAAAACAAATGTACACGATTCTCCATACATCAATATAAATGAATGGTTTGGTCATTTCTTCTTATTTAAAATTCATTTTAATATATATATATACTGTATATATTTACACATTAACTTAAAATTCTCTAATACCCTAATGCAAGTGATTTCAGCCCAGCAGCCATTCTTGAGAGGATTCCAGAAGCTTTGTGACCCTCTGTCAGCAGGAGGGGACGAGGCAGAGAAATGAGACCCCCGCCGACGCTTCTTTATCTCTCGCAAACAGAATAGGTTTTTTTTTTTTTTTTTATTATGGGAGAACTACGGTGGCCGACAGGTGCAAACGCGTTACACCGACCCAACACATTTCCATTATGGGAAGCAAGCTGCAGTTTCCAAAAATGCAGTTTCCAAAAACGCATGCAGATTTGCTGCTAGCTAGCTAACGTAGCTAACTTAGTCATTTACAGATATACATATTTCACTGTCAATATGTTTCTATTTGACTTTTTAGTTTAGTTTTATTTGATATTTTGAGATGTTTTGATTTTATGTGTATGTTTGTTTAGCTTCTCCTCTTTTTTATTTTCACATTGTCTCGTTCACATGTTGCTGTGACGAAACCATCTCCTGAAATGGGATCAATAAAGCCAATCTTATTAACTTATTTCGAATATACTGACAAAACACATTTTGAGGTTGCAGTGCGTTTCTCCTAATGGAATGTGTTGGTCCGCTGCAGCACGTTGGCACCTGTCGGCCACCGTAGAACAGTTTACCTAAAAAGGAACCCGCACAATTAAACAGTTGGTTCTTCACAAATACAGTAAGTGGCGGTACCCATTAACTTACCAGGAAGCAACAGATCTGTCTGAACAAATCTTGTGTGTTAGATACAAATACTGATATGCACAAAAGCGCTAAAAGAAAAATTAATTATGTACAAAGTTGCAGCATAACGAATGGGATATACTGTTACAATAACTTAGTTTTCAGCCAGTTTGATTATACATTGTATTTCAGTCGAGGCCAGGCCAGTTGACAGGTTAAATAGAGAAGGGGGGGACCGTCCTCTCTCTCTGCACACACTATCACTTTGTTTTGTAGCCATGGACAGTGTCAGCATGATGCTCTGTCATATCTCTTGTGACAAACTGCGATAGAAAATACAAATCCTTACAAACATTGTGTTTAAAGCTACTTGTGAAACAAACGGTGCAATAGGTGCAAGCGCGCCAGTTGTTGACCCTGTAGTGGAGCGGAGGGGAGGGGTCGCTATAAGAAGGGGTTCGTTGAAGAGCCTCCTGCTGGATACTGAGCAGACGGAGCCGCACCCTGCAAGGTCAAAGGACACACACACACACACACACACACACACACACACACACACACACACACACACACACACACACACACACACACACACACACACACACACACACACACACACACACACACACACACACACACACACACACACACACACACACACACACACACACACACACACACACACAATCAGAAGGAGTAACTAATAACTTTGATTTCTAGTTTTGAGAGTAAACATAAATCCACAATCAAAGAGTATATATTCCAACCACTAGTGCTTCTTCTAGGGCTTTAATTGACGTAAATTGAAAGCATTAGATATGCTGATCGTCAGAATAATTAAAAACTATATTTGCTTGGAAAAGTACATACTATGAGGTTTTTAAAAATGACTTTATAGTGGAACTTGAGTAAAGCATTTATGGGTTTAAATTAAACGACATAACATACTATTTACTTGCATAGGCATCAGGGTTTCCGTTAGCCGGTAATTACCGGTTTTTAGCTGGAAAAATGTATTAAAAACCGGTAAATTCAAAACCTGCCGGTCAAAATGTCCGGTAATAATCGGCCGATATTCACTCTTAATAGTTTGATCGGTGCTCTCTATAAAGGCCGATCAGGAGAGCTGGATCTGATAGATATGGACATAAACGCGAGTGAAGTATAACCGGACGCGAGAGAGAGATCAGATCAGCTGCTGAGTCTGATGGAGACACGCAGCTCTGCATGATCACCTGAAGCTCCGCCCACTGTTTAGCGAGCTGCATGAGAAACTGACCAGCTGTCAGGAGAGAGAGGGAGGGAGATAAGTACTATAAGTAGTTCATTTGAATGTAATAATTATGTTGTTTGTTGATTGTGGAAGCGCATCATATATTGAAAAATGAATCTGAACTTTTCGATCTGTTACGATTATAAACTGAAGAAATAGAAAAATCCCATTAACTGAGTTTTAAACATCAGCATATCCGGTCATAGTCCGGTAATTACCTGCCAACGGAAACTCTGCTACACAATTCTTATTGTTATTATTGAAACAAAACCGGTAAGTTTCAAATTTGTCTGGTAAAATTAATTATTTCCGGACATTTCACCGGCAAGAAAAAATCCTAGCGGAAACCCTGATCGGCATATAAGGGATGTGTCGGCAATATTACTGCAGTGACGTCTTTGCACTCTTTACATATTATTTATACCATTAACTAAGAGATTGATTCGCAGCGTTCATTTCACAGCTCTTCTTTTTTGCAATCAATTGGTCTTTTTAATATAACTAAAATCTATGGTAATAAGGTAACAGCCTAATCTCCACCAACAACAGCCAATGCTAATGTGACAGAAGCCGCTTCATTCTACTGTAGGAGTATTACAACTAAATTGTTTCAACAAGAAATAAAGATATTTGACTAACCAGGAAGGGGTTGCTGGAGATCATAGGTCCGGACATTGTTTGTCCGAATGGAGTGCCAACGGGCTTGGCCTGGCCGAAGGCTGCAAATCCTCCGCCTGAAACACAGGTACGTCATCATTAGGGAACATCTCAACAATAGGGCAATGCTTTAACACTAGAACCGCCAGCGGGTACATTTTACCTGCAGCTGTTTCTTGATTGTATGTAACTTTTTTTTTAACAAAATATTGAAGTCTCCCAGTCTGTGACTTTTCCTGAAAGTGTGTTATGTAGCACCCTCTGTTGTTAAAAATTGTCAATATGAAGTCAGATTGAAAAAATTGCCAACATTTTTTGATTTATACCCATCAGCGCCAGCGGGTAATATTTACCTTATAGAAAATGCAGTGATTTTCGCGCTATTGATCTTGCGCGAAAGCATAAACATGACGTGTTGCTATAGCAACGCCTGTTGTTTACTGCGGTTCCTTATAGATAGATAGAGAGAGATAGTTATAGATAGAGAGATAGATAGACAGATAAATCACTGTGTGATCAAAACTCACTGTTAACCTTGTGTTCTGTATGATACATAAAAGAACATTGTACCTTGAAAATCAATGCATTCTAATAGCGGGTACATTTTACCCGTTGGCGGTTTTAGGTATACAGCGACCCCTGGCGGTTCTATTGTTAAAAAAAACATTTAAAGATACACATAACATTTTATTTAAAACAGTCATTTAGTGGTGACCATTGCATGTGTAATGTGTATTTGTAAAGCGCTTTGAGCATCTGGAAAAGCGCTATAATAAATGTAAGGAATTATAATTATTATTATTTAAGTACCAAGAGAAAACAAATCAAACAAGTTAAAATAGAATAAGATGATAATTATGCTTCAGATATTTGGAGCATAATAGCAGAACGCTGCTTCTCCATGTTTGGTTTTGACTCTGGGAATCCTTTACTCATATTTAAGTAAACAAACCTAATGGAATGGTGGCATTTTAAATAGATGTAGGTGCAATTATGTCAGAGGCCCTTGCAAGCTTGAAACTCAGTGTAGTTGTTATTACAGATACGTCTATATCTACATGATGCACACAGTAACACACACCGTTGGGTTGCTGGGGGTACGCCGGGGGCTGAGGGAAGGGGGCCTGGCCGGGGAACGGCTGCTGGAACGTTCCACTGAAGCTGGTGGGGAGGTTGAAGGCTGCCACATTCCCAAATCCAGCGGGCATACTCATGGAGCCTGTGCCGAAAGATGCTGCAACAAAGCAGGACAGTCAGTCAACAGGCATTACACTAAATAACAGTAGAAATAATTGTATTTAAAAACAATGACGACAACATTTTAAAGCACACCCACACATAAGACATTATAAAATGTAAAAATGAATGTGTTATGACATTAGTTTGTTAGGAAGCAAAGCGCTCATATTTTTCTTTGACTCATGTAGTAAACTTAAATGAGTGAGAATGAACAAATAGTGATCACAGATAGAGAGGCGAAGTCCCGCCCATCTACTTTCGACCCATGGGACCTTATTTCGGAAAAATGATGTATTGAAGTCAATGGAGAGAGAAAGATTATCTTTCGATCCCGTTTGAATTGTGCCACGAATTACATATGATGTTTCTCAATCTTAAAAAATCATTTCCACGTAAAAAAAGTCACAGTTTGTCGTAAAACTGTTGAAATATAAGACTATGAAAAATACGCAACTAGAAAGACTACAAATCCCAGAATCCCGGTCCCGCATGCTGGCTCTTAGGAACCGACTAACTCCCCTTGTGTGTATGTACAGCTCTCAACGTGCCCAGACTTGGAGTGATTTTCACCTCTTTTAATACTTTCCGCCTCATTCTGAAAGAAAGAAGTGAAATGTTTCAACGTGACGGCCGTCTTGGTGTGTGGTGCGAGACGGGAGATGTAGTTCATTTAGCGCTTTCACACAAACAAAGTGTAACTTCACAGTTTTACGAGACATTTAAAAAAAATGTGACTTGAAAATTATCTTTTAAATTGACAAACATCATATGTGTAATTCGTGGCACAATTCAAACGGGATCGAAAGATAATCTTTCTCTCTCCATTGACTTCAATACATACTTTTTCCGAAATAAGGTCCCATGGAGGAAAGGGAGGGACTTCGCCTCTCTATTAATGTCTTCGAAAAGCAGCAAAGAGTTTAAGCCTGTTCCTAACTGACTAAAGAATTGTCAAGACATGTTGGGTTCCTCAACATCTTCCTTTGGTCATAATAACATTATATTCTCTATATGAAATTATGATGGCTGTTTGACAAAAGTAACATGTTTTTTTAAAGATTCAAGTAGCAGAATTCATTTGACACTCAGATTTGAGCATCCTAATACCAACTAGTTACCTAGTGTTTCGTCACACCCTTATTCTGACTGTCAACTTGTTCCTGAAAGATATGCTGAAGGAAGAAGAAAGCACTGCAACAGCAAGGCACAGGCGAGCAGAAGGGGAAGCAGTGAGCACAAGTGAACCTACCATAGGTGGGGGGGTAACCCTGCCCATGAATTACCCCCATCAGGCCTGTGCAGCATGCCAAGAGCAACCAGACAGAAAACTGAAACTCTGCTGTTGCTGTAACTTTCACATCTCTGGCACACACACCACTGAACAGCGGATGCCCATTTTCACAGTGGGCAGAATTACTTTTCTATATTAACCTTTTCTAATTTTCCCCTGATCGGTTGCCTCTGTGCTAAAATGATTTTAATCTACAATATTGATGCATACATTAGATTGTGATTCTGTAGCATTGCACCACAACACACACAAACACACCTGCTGCTGCCGCCGCCGCCGCTGCCGCCATGTGGGCCGTCCTGCCGTTGCTCTGGAAGGGGTTTGTGGGAGGGGCTGCCGGGGCCGCTACAAACGGATTGGTTGACTGAGCTGTTGGAGAGAGGTATGAGGTCACCAAACATGTAGAGGGTTATACAGAACAGTGAATTGCTCGTTCACATGGTAAAACCAAAGCAATGATTCACAGGACAGATGTTCTTTGCTCCAAGGTATTGAGGTAAGTCGCTTTAGATAAAAGCATTAGCAAAAAAATGTAATGCCCCCCTTTTGACTTCTGTATTTAATATTGATTAAGACTGTATTTAACTTATATATGCCTAAACCCTGCACCCTATCCGTTTATGCTTCAAGCCTTGCACCTTATCTGTAAATATTGATCTTATATGAATGAAAAAGCTTTGTACAACAACTTGCAATAAAAACATGTGGGCTATAGAAAACATTATAGCCCATTTTCTTACAGATTCAATTCTTCATCTCGTCTTTGGCATCACAAAAACTAATGCCAAAAGGGAACAGAATTTGTCAACTGCCGATTCCCACTAGGGCTGAACGATTAATCGATTTGAAATGATGCAATTATCAAATCGGAAAGCCTGCGATTTTTTTTTTGTTCTTCTTGTGTGTCAGTCATCCACACCAATCAGAAGTGCTGTGCTCCACATGTACCAGCCATTGTTCACCAATCAGAAGTGGCCCATGATAGAAGGTGATAGACAGATTGATCCAATCACCTGCCAAGTATTCTTGAAAGTGCCTGCCCTTTCCAAATGGCTTCCAATGGAGCTTTAGATAGTTTGGTGAAACCAACCGTCTGAGTCAGGTTAGTAATGCTCCATCACATGTTTCTATCACAGGGTGAATCTTAAACTGAAGCTTGACTTTAAAGCAACCCAACGGAAGTTTCATTTAAGTTTAGTTCTTTCACTCAATTTTACAATAAACTTCCGTTGGGTCGCTTAAAAACAAATATCGCAATCGCAATATCTGTCAGAAAAATCGCAGTTAGATTATTTCCCCAAATCGTGCAGCCCTAATTCCCACCCACTGAGTGTAGCTGTAATGACTGATAATTCACTGCTGGGATTTCCTCTTGTTTCCCAATTAACTTTGTGAATGATCACAGATTGTTTATTTGGAGAACAGTAGTCACAAACCATCAGAAAACAGAAGGTTCCCTCACCTCCAAATCCTTGAGCCATCCCAGGCAGGGCCTGCTGTGCTTGTGCTGCGGACATCCCACTCTCTGTGCCAAACACACTCCGGCTGAGGAACACAGGCAACAAGTATTAGTTTATTACGAAAGCAGCAAAAAGAATACAGGAGACAACGGTTTGATTAGACTGTGGTCCCTGTGTGTTTATAGGATGAGGAAGTTGTTTTGGATTAAAGCAACTTTGTTAGTGAGAATTGCCAGATGGTGTTAAGTAGGTTATTATTTTTGGTCCGCCTCTAGCAAGGGACGTACTGCAGAAAGTGTGTGTGTGTGTGTGTGTGTGTGTGTGTGTGTGGTTTATTGTAGCTGTAACTTATGGAGAAATCATAACATCTAATTCTCTTAAACTATCATATTCCAGGGAAAGTTTTTATATATGCTCAGTTTTTTGTGTATATACAGTATGTGTTTACTGTATATATATATATATATATATATATATATATATATACATATATATATATATATATATATATATATGTGTGTGTGTGTGTGTGTGTGTGTGTGTGTGTGTGTGTGTGTGTGTGTGTGGGGTCTCACCCTTGAGAGGTGCTGGTGGGGTTGTAAACACTGGTGGGAGGGACTGAGGGTCCGAACACAGTGTCCAGCTCAGCCAGAGCAGCGTAGCGGTCGCACCCTGCAGGGACTCCTGGCTGCCTCTGAGGCGGACCCCCTACTCCTGCCGAGCCCCCCCCAGCAGCAAGACCGGCTCCTGCAAGAGAAACACAAGACAGCCCGGTTCAATCCCTGTCACATCGACTAATATAGGAGCTCAATCCTAATTGTAAAAGACACAAAAAGAAAGGTCCGGAGATAGCTGCCATATTGAACCTATTCAAGATAATGGGAAATAAATGATCATCATTAGAATGTATAGCAAAGAAATTCAGTATTGAGCTCCAGCCCAGTACATGTCAGAGATGAAATGAAAGAAATATGTAAAACAGGGAGGTGTTTCCACCGTGTGCAGTGGCTTGTTGTCTCTATGCAGGCTGGTTGAGGTTCAGCAGCACTGATCCACTTTTTAAAGGCATCTCAAAACACATCCAAATCGAGGATTAGCCGAAATGTAAGTGATACAGAAGTAGGCGTTTGCTAGAAAACCTAAATCTGCTTCTTCGTGATAGAATCTAGGTCTGTCCCTGCAGTTGAAAGAAGAATCAAAAGGGTCTTAAATCTATGTAACTGCTGTTTTTTTGTTGAGACTACTTCTCTTTTTGGGTGACATCTGTCCACACTAGGTCTATAAACAGGTGAGGCAGGAGAGGGTTACCTTGCTCTGTTTTGGCAGAGCTTAACAACACGTTATCCAGGTCAGCCAGGACTGCGTATTTATCTGCAGGGAGGCTAGTACTCTGTACAGCAGGGCTATTCAATTAGCTTGGAATGTAGATGACAATGATCCAAAGCAAGGGGCCGGGAACAAGATGGCTTGAGCAATCATATTAAGAGCTTTAGATACAGTAAATACTACAACAGCATAGTGGAGTGCATATATTGTGTTTAATTAAATCAAACATAGCCCCAAGGCTTTTATAGATCTAAATGGCAAGTTCAGAACTCAGTAGGCCTACATGTGAAGCTAATTTAACCATCAACATCATTTGATTTCATTTAGGTGAAATTATCTAATCATTCACGCAGAGATGCAATCAATGACAGGAGTTGTCTCTACAGTAGCTAGTAGGTGGGTTCGAAACCCGAGCCCGTCGAAGTGTTCAGGCAATGTCTTCCCCTCTATCTCTCAATTTAATTTTTAATAACCTCTCTGAAAGGCACTCTGGCCCCAAAAAAAACCAACAATATACTCAAAGGGCCAGTAAATATCACCCCGGAGCCGGATTTGGCCGGGCAGCCAATTGAATAGCTCTGCTGTACAGCTTCTCTGCCAGCTGCTGTGGAGTTACTCTGGGAAGGAGAACTGAAGGATCCAAAGTCAGCGCTACACGATTTTTGGAAGTTGTCAAAATGTGCAAAACTGGCATTTGCTAGTCCCCGTGAGGCGCTACATGCATGAGAGAGAGATTACAAAGTCATAAAGGGGGGCCTCGATTGTTTAACGGCATCAATAGGGTGGAGAGGGGGAGAAGAAGCTGCATGGAGGGTCAAATTGTGGAGGAGTTGCCTTCATTATCTAGTGCAGTGCTTCTCAAAGTGTGGTCCTCGGACCACTGGTGGTCAGTGAGCTCCCCCTAGTGGTCCGTGAGTATATTGGTAAAATTTCACATTTGAAATGAATACATTAATTTAAGTTTTCCGCACTCTCGCTGGAATATCTCCGCAATGGAGCGAGCTTAAGTTTCGATTGCATGATATCATATAGCCCAGCGCAACACCTTCATCACACATGTTGCCACTTGTTTGTACCATTTTCAGGCGATTTGTAATCTGTTCTAGAAAAACGATGTGATTTTGGATATTTGTGGGGTTAGGTGGTCCGCGTGTTTTTTTATTGGTTAAGTGGTCCTTGGTATGAAAAAGTTTGAGAAACACTGGATAGATGTCTAAAATAAGTCCTCTCCAACACTGCACTATGCTAGCTCTCCATTAGCCTTTAAAACGAATGCATAGAATTCACATTGATAAGAGGCACACGATGCATATCACCTTTTCAGGAATTGCTTATCATTGTACCGCTAGATATTTGGGTCATACAGGTTTTATGTTTTACACCAAGACTGATTTAGGGCCTTTTGCCACCGTTTTATATCTTAACTTTATCAAAATCACCAACATTTACTTTTGCATGATACATATCCAAATGGCAGTAAGTGCAAGATTTGGTAAAGCAACGGATCCTCTTACAAAGATCATACCAAAATGTTGTAATGATATGAATAATGTTATACAACTCATAATTTTCTAGCAATGCATTATCTTTCAAAATAATCACAATTCGCTTTTTTCTCCAAATCGTGCAGCCCTTCTGCTGACACTGTTTTTTGTTTTACATTTGATGGGAAAACGTAAAGACACGTAAAGATATCACAGCAGGTTATCATATGGAAGTTAACATGGAAAGTCAGCATTTATGTTTTTTGTGAGCAGATTATACAAGATGACAAAGAGAGACATTTTGAAATATGGATTTTTGTGGAGTAATGGCTGCTGCTTCTGTACGGACATGTGTGAGGATGTTGGGGTAGTCTGAGAGGGCTGGCAGGTGGACATCAGAACAGATATTGCTTCATCTCAAGCAGCATACTCAAAAAAACATTCAGGGAGAACTGATTTGCTTGGTATGCAACAAGAGGATTGATACACCACAACATGTTACATGATAAAAACACTTTGAACACTGGTGAAGCTAATCTCAGTAAAAGGCTAACGTTAAGCTATCGACAAAACGACATCACAGTCACCACCGCTAAGCTAAAGGCGGCTAATGGTTGGCATGCTGACGTTTCGTTTTATTTTTATGACACATTGGTATTTCAGACATTCAGGAGTTGGTTATTTACTCACGTATTTTATGTCATAAAACAAAGCATGTAAAAATATATAATGCTTGTGTTTGCCGCAGACCTTACTTCAGGCTTCTACCCACAAACGCGTTATAAAAAAACGTTGATTTTGAGAACAAGAAAGCTAGCTAAAATGCTAGTGCTTAAATGCTAACTAATTTCCAGTTTTACGACTCATTCCTGCACCACTCTATTCTTTGTTATCCTAAAGTTGAGGGAAGGCAATTTTAAGTATTGACACTGAAACCATCACACCATTTAATCAAACTGAACAATTTCTTTAATTGCATAGCCTTGAATATTTGTTATACTACCTTTAACACAAGGACAGGTACTATCTGGCATGTCCTTTTTTATGCATTCATTTTTCTATCAATAACGAATGGAATAGACTTCAAGGACAAAGGGTTTTTGTGTAATCTAATTATAGCGCAGCATTAGTTTTTATCAATGTCCATTTGATCCTCTTCTTTTCATTTCACATTTCACTTTGTTCTATTCTCTTGTAGTTCCACATGGTCTATTCTCCACAATGGTTCACTATAATGACTGCTTATTGTCGACAGTGATTCAGAGTTACCAGGGTAAATGCACGAATCCTGAAGTCAAATGTAATTCCTTTTAAGACCTTTTTTAAGACCCTATCCATACATTTTAAGACCTCATCGCCACTTGGAGTTTTAACCGGTTACATTGGCGACACACTTTACTTCACATTTACTATATACAGTATTGATTGTCCTTCCTCCTTATCTTCCAACCATTTGGACGCAGACTTGCATTTCCCCATAACGATGTTGCTTAGCAACCGGCGTAAACGGACCATCGCGCGCTATCAAGCAGTGAGCGCGCGATGTCCCGTTCAGATGACGTCAAATCTAACGGGATGCCATCAATAAACTACACAGAATCACGCTACACACCTACGCAATGATTACATTCAGGCACACTGTAGAATACAACCTCTTTGGACAATTGATATACTTATTGAAAACAAGCTACAAAATGTGTGTGGAAAATGCCGTTTAATACTTTTTAATAACCTTAATTTTCGCTAAATTGATTTATCAACTTTTAATACTTTTTAAGACCCCACGGACACCCTGGTTACAGACACAAAAAGAGCCACATGCGGAAACACATCACAGCCGGAGGAGAGGAGGATCAGAGTGTTTGAACGTTAGATGTTAGAAAAAGGGTGAAAGCTGTTAAGAGGTCAAGCCCAGAGAGAGAGAGAGAGACTTACTGTGTGCAACCTGGAGAGGCAGGGCGGGGGCAAACTCGCCCAAACTGCGACTGGATGAGAGCACAGTGAACGCTGGCAGCCCAAATGATAAGAGGGGGGGAGAAATGGAGCAATGAGCAAGACAGGGCGGAGAAACAAAAATAAAAAGACGTCAACTAAAAGATTAGAAAGCATGAAGTCAAAGCAAATCTGACGCAGAGGGTGACAAACAAACACATGAGATAGTATGAACAGCTTAGGCCAGATCGCTCAGTGAGTGAGTGTAAGTGAGAAAGGGATTATCTTACAAAGCCAAGAGATAGAGAGGGAAGCTTTTATCCATCAAGCATTAGAGTGCCACAGTGACGCATCCTAAGACCCAGAAGTAAGTTAGCATTTTAGCACTTCCGGTTCCTTCGACAAAAAAGCAACGGGATCTCTCCGTAGGATTTAGGAAAATAGCTGGAAATAAGGTCTGTGGTTGAGACACATTTAAGAGACGGATCACGTTGTGTTCTACGACATGAAATCACCAGCAGTGACCCCGCTGGTGATTTCTGAAGAGTTGACGTGTCTGAAAAACGATGGTTGTTACTAAGTGGCTGAATAGGACTACAGAAGTTGTCGAGGCCGTTGTACGTCATTACGCCGAACACGTAAACACTCCTCTAAGTGTGTTTGCCCTGTTCTGCTTCAAAGCAAGTGCCTGCCTCCTGCAAACTGTTCAAACAAACACTTCAACTTGAACCATTTTGAATCTGTGTGTTTGAATATGGATCTTAAGTTGGCGTGACGTTGAAGCAGCGACCCTGCTGTAGTTCCTTTATAGCATAACGTTAGCATTTAGCTTCTGGTGACTAGATGTATTATTCGAAAATGATGAAAGTAGGGTAGACATGTGGAGATTATCCGGCTGAACAAAACGTGATCCGTCTCTTAAATGTGTTTCAACCACAGACCTTATTTCCAGCTATTTTCCAAAATCCTATGGAGATTACTTCCGGGTTTTAGGATGCGTCACTGTGGCACTCTAAAGAGATCGCACTGCAGCTCCACTCAAAAGAGTTATTCATGTTTATCTCCAGCAGAGGGCGCTGTAGCATACTACATGTAACTGAGGAGGGGAGGAGGCTGTGTGTTTGTGTATGACAGTCACTGTTTTAGTATAGAGTATGTGACATAGGAGGTTCATGTAAAGAGCTAGTGACTGCTGAGCAAATATTGACTTGAAATGAGAATGGCTTGGAGGCAAATATTGACCCGAATGACACACAGGGAAAAGGTGGACAACAGTTTGAAGTCTTGTATTTTTTTAAACCACAGAATACAAATGGCAGCTTCAGAAGACAAGCAGTTTAAAGAGGAGTGTGTGGGAGAGGTAATTTTGGAATTGTAGCCTTTGCACAAACGTATATAAAAACACAAGGAACGGGAAAACTCCAAAAAGCTCAATAGGCCTCTTTAACTGGTGACTGCGCAAAATGCACAGTGGAGCTGCAAATATTTGCACTTATGTTAAGCCCCTAATATGTGTTTGCTTATGTTCCTATAGGATTTCATAGTGTGGCCAGTACTATTACAACAGTAAAACCCTGGTGTTCAGGTCCAATATCCTTCTAATGTTATTCCTAATGAGTGTATCTGATAAGGATTCCAGTCTGTGGTGATGAGAGTTCACTTATGTCTAGTTTTGATGTCTTGCTTTTTCTGTGCTATCAATGCACCTACTATGGCAAATAAATTCCTCTTTTATCTTTCTATCAAAGGAGAAAGGTGTTTACATATTAATGATATGGAGGCGTGTGGCGCAGTGGGTTAGTGCGTTGGTGTTCGGATCAGGGAGCACAGGTTCAAACCCCACTGCAGTCAGCATGTCCCTGAGACACTTCACCCCAAATTGCTCCTGTGGGGATTGTCCACAGTATTGAGTATGTAAGTTGCTTTGGATAAAACAAGTAACATGTAATATGTTTGTCTGATTGCCCAACATTCAGTTTTAAAAAGGGTAGTAGTTCAATACTCTGGTGAACAACAGATTCTTGCCTCATAAACATAGGTTTGTTGTTGACATTTCACACAAATGAGTAACCAGAAATAACCCAGCGTGTATCAAATGTAAAATGAAGCTTTTTTTTCTTTTTTTAAAGTAGGTCAAAATAGTGATATGCTAAAAGTGGTGCTTAGAGCAAATGCTTCTAATCTGTCTGCAGTGGAGTGCTCAGAACACTTTAACATGTGACACCAGATGAATGAACAGCACAGAGTATGGAAAGGTTAGGGGAGCAGATGGTATGCGTTACAACAGGTACAACACAAATGGAAACATGACATGACAGAAAACATGGCCTTGTGTTGAGCCTAATTGTATATTCTCAAATACATGCATGCGTTTCATAACACAAGCGAATGTCTTCGAGTGGTTTGGATGTGTGCAATGTGTCCGGTGAAGGGAGCTTGCTCTACCTGTATTTGAGGGTTGGAATTGGGCTTGAGGTGCTGAGGGGAAGCCACCTGAAGACCCAGAGGTGCTGCCGAACGCATCAAAATTAGCAAAGTTTGCATTTGCGTTGGCACTCTGTGCAGCTGAGGTGGAGTCAGGATGAGGTTCAGACACACAGATGAACAAAAACAAAACACACAATGAGAGGAAAACAATGGATGACATAATGGATTTATACATATAATGACAAATGGCATGGATGACAGACTGCAAATATAATGGATTAAGTGGTGATGTGAAAGACAACTCATAGGGTGGTGTCACATGACAATGAAATGCGGCTTAAGAGGCGGGAAAGATGGTCGGATTTTCACCACCTCTCATTAGATTCCCTCTGCAGACCCTACAACTCTAAATGTGTGTGTGTGTCGCACTAAACACAGATGTACAGTTGTGTTTGCTTTGTGGAGATCCACTTTTGTCGCAGCATTACGGATGAGTCTGTATGGCTCTTTTATTGGGATGAGAGGACATTATCCTCCAACAGAAGCAAACACCAATATCTCTAGGTACAGGCATTAGTTACCATGGAGATGTGCCTGTCCATAGACTATTCCATAATGTAGTTAGTGATTGTGAAATGTTACAGTTTCTGCATCTTAAACATCTGCCAGAGACTATAAGAGGCGATGGATCAGTGTCTGTTTAATCACCTTAAGCATTTGAAATGTCTGAAACCAGAGCCCAGTCTGCTCTGATTGGTTAGCTGTCCGGCTCTGTTGTGATTGGTCAACCGTTTGGAAAGGTCCCGTTCCCTTTTCATGCACAAAAACCACAGGAAAGGAAAAGTGCCAAAAAGCACAATGGGGCCTAATGTGACAGACACAACTTCCACATTTAAAAAGGCACACCCAACCCTAAATTATTGCTCAACTCCTGCACCCTGTTACAGATGTATGCGAGTCGAACAATCGGTCGTTTCCTTACTTGTGTGGCTGTTGAAATGTGCAAAGTTAGCAAAACTGGAGCTGGCTCCGGCGTTCATGTTGGGCGGGGCAGCGAAGATGTCTCCCCCCAGTTCACTGAGGAGGTCGAACCTCTTGTCGTGGAACGGCTGCTGCTGGCTCTGTCCACGGCTCACCACTGGAGACTGGGGCAGACAAGAGATGGAGTTAGAAATATGTATATGTTTGTCAGAATGAATTAAGGTGTAATTGAACAACCTTCACTCGACTAAAGAAGAATCAGAATACCTTTATTAGTCCCAGAGGGGAAATGCACATTGTTACAGCAGAAAAGAGCCAATGACAGCTTAATGTTACTAAGAAGCATACAAACAAAAATACAAAAATAAACTTTGAATATTAAAATTCACAATTACGAGTGTGTCTGTCACTATGTTTTCAATGTCTAAGTATTCATATAAAAAGCAAGGAAAGATGAAATCCGTGTCAGTGGGTAGACTAAGACATTGATAACAATAAAACCCTTTAAGGAATTCAAATACTCAAGATGTTTCAAGTACATTTATCAAATGTTACCAGGGTTTCTGACAGCAGTAACAAATCCATCTAATCGGAGATACAGGGTCCCGCGAGTCAATAAAGTCAGACTGAAGCATCCTTTGTGCTCCAGTCAATCCTCACAGTAAATACAGAGCTGCATCCCAGATCAAATGCACGCTAAAGGCTCTTTGAGCATGTCTTCTCTCAGTGATTGTGCTGTTATGTTAAATGTTTGTTGTTGTTTGTTATGTACTGTGTCCTGATATTTGTCTATGTTGATGTTACACATGAAGCTGCTGTGATGCAAGTTACATTTCAGTCTTGATCTGACCATTAAAGTAATATCATATACGCCGCATGAATCTCACCTGGTTAGGGGGGGTGTTCTTGTTGAGGTGCAGGGAGGGGGCAGACTCCCCCAGCAGGGATTTGAGGGGTCTGACCTCGGGGGTGCTGCTGGTGCTGCTGTTGGAGGAGCCGGAGATGGAAGCGTGGACGGGGGCCGCGGGCTTCGCCTGCTCTGGAGGAACGTGCCTGGGAAAGGGTGGGAGGGATACTTTACAAATGTGTCCTGTCACAGTTAGCTGTAAAAACATGTAATCAGTCATCTGAGTATTTAAATATAAAATAAATGTAACCTGATTACTTTGTGTAACTTTTGGATTACGTCAGTATCAAATGCAATATCATCAAGATGAATTTGACTTAATATTCTTATGTAAAACCACAGAACAATGTGACCTTAGAACAGAAGAAACCAACATCTTTAGGATCCCAAATGTGTCATGAAACATATTCAGGCAGCAGCCTATACACCAACAATGAAACGCATGAGCACACACTACAGCTTTAAAAAGCAGAAGTGAAATCTGAGCTGACAGAAAATGCTCAGTGTTAGTTTAATACACAGTTAAGCTCACACACACTATGTTATAAACATACAGGTTCAGCTACTGAATTAAAAACAGAACAAATGAACCAAAGAAAGTGAAAACCATGAAGCAGATTCAGGCAGTAGACGTATAGATTCACACTTAAAGGTCTCATGTCATGGCCATTTCCACTGATCATAATTCCATTGTTGAGGTCGACTAGAATACATTTAAATTGTGCAATTTTCCAAACTCACATTGGTTTCTCTGTAAACTACGTGTATTCACTGAATTTCACTCTCTGCCTTTAACGGCTCGTTGTAGCTCCAATAGCTCCAGCCCTACCCCCCCTGTGAGCACAGTGTGCTCTGATTGGTCGGGACGTTGTGGATCGCGCTGAGCTCCGTGGAGGTGTGGTTTCCTTGTTTAGCGATACACAGCGAAACACAGCCAAACTCACCCTGAGCACACACAAAGTCACAGCCGAAGTAAAAACAATAAGTGTGGCTTGATATTGAGTAAGAAAAAGGTTGATAAACGCTGTGAGAATGGGTCTGCAGAGAGAAATGGGTCCGCAGAGAGAATGGGTCTGCAGAGAGAATGGGTCTGTAGAGAGAATGGGTCTGCAGAGAAATGGGTCGGCAGAGAGAATGGGTCTGCAGAGAGAATGGGTCTGTAGAGAGAATGGGTCTGTAGAGAGAATGGGGTCTGTAGAGAGAATGGGGTCTGTAGAGAGAATGGGTCTGTAGAGAGAATGGGTCCTGTAGAGAGAATGGGTCTGTAGAGAGAATGGGGTCTGTAGAGAGAATGGGTCTGTAGAGAGAATGGGGTCCTGTAGAGAGAATAGGGTCTGTAGAGAGAATGGGTCTGCAGAGAGAATGGGTCTGTAGAGAGAATGGGTCTGTAGAGAGAATGGGTCTGTAGAGAGAATGGTCTGTAGAGAGAATGGGTCTGCATAGAGAATGGGTCTGTAGAGAGAATGGGTCTGCAGAGAGAATGGGTCTGTAGAGAGAACGGGTCTGCAGAGAGAATGGGTCTGCAGAGAGAATGGTCTGCAGATAGACGGTCTGCAAGAGAACGGGTCCTGGCAGAGAGAATGGGTCTGCGGAGAGAACGGGTCTGCGAGAGAACGGGGTCTGCTGAGGAGTCCTCTGTGCAGAATGGGTCTGCAGAGAGAATGGGTCTGCTGTGAGGAATGGGGTCTGCAGAGAGAATGGGTCTGGCTGTGAGAATGGGTCTGCAGAGGAATGGGTCTGTAGAGAGAATGGGTCTGCAGAGAATGGGTCTGCAGAGAGAATGGGTCTGCAGAGAGAATGGGTCTGTAGAGAGAATGGGTCTGCAGAGAGAACGGGTCAGCAGAGAGAATGGGTCTGTAGAGAGAATGGGTCTGTAGAGAGAATGGGTCTGTAGAGAGAATGGGTCTGCAGAGAGAATGGGTCTGCAGAGAGAACGGGTCAGCAGAGAGAATGGGTCTGGCTGTGAGAATGGTCTGCAGAGAGAATGGGTCTGCAGAGAGAACGGGTCTGCAGAGAGAATGGGTCTGCAGAGAGAATGGGTCTGTAGAGAGAATGGGTCTGCAGAGAGAATGGGTCTGCAGAGAGAACGGGTCAGCAGAGAGAATGGGTCTGCTGTGAGAATGGGTCTGCAGAGAGAATGGGTCTGCAGAGAGAACGGGTCTGCAGAGAGAATGGGTCTGCAGAGAGAATGGGTCTGTAGAGAGAATGGGTCTGCAGAGAGAATGGGTCTGCAGAGAGAACGGGTCTGCAGAGAGAATGGGTCTGCAGAGAGAATGGGTCTGCAGAGAGAACGGGTCTGCAGAGAGAACGGGTCTGCAGAGAGAACGGGTCTGCTGTGAGAATGGGTCTGCAGAGAGAACGGGTCAGCAGAGAGAACGGGTCTGCAGAGAGAATGGGTCTGCAGAGAGAACGGGTCAGCAGAGAGAATGGGTCTGCTGTGAGAATGGGTCTGCAGAGAGAATGGGTCTGCAGAGAGAACGGGTCTGCAGAGAGAATGGGTCTGCAGAGAGAACGGGTCTGCTGTGAGAATGGGTCTGCAGAGAGAACGGGTCTGCTGTGAGAATGGGTCTGCAGAGAGAATGGGTCTGCAGAGAGAATTTCACCGCGATCCCAACTGTCTGTTATCAGCCTGCAGCCAGGGAGGAGAGATCAGCAGAGCTGCCTGCAGCACTGAGTGTGTGAGGAAGTCCGTGGATTGGTCAATTTGGACCAATCAGCGGGGGCTTAACGTAACGGCTCCGCGGACGTAACGTAACAGCTCCACGGATTGGTCCATTTCGTTCCGGGGACGACATGACATCGTGATGTACCCGGAAGAATCAAATGGACAGTGACGTATCTCCAACGAGGCGTTTTGGGGAGGTATTCTCTGTGTTAGAGTTTTACTCGCTACAGGGTGTACTTTGAGGGTTTTGACTCTGCAGACCGTTTACATGTAAACCTTCATAACACACAAGGAGACGGGTACTAACCAGAAAAGCATGACATGGGACCTTTAAGGTGTTATCCTACAGAACAGAGAAGAGATATCATCTGATCCTTTTACAGCAAACACAATACGTTTGCTTTTTTTAACACCTGCTAGTAATCGCCAATTTTTAGACGTGTAACAGTAATCTGATTTAAACCATTTTTATGTATGCAACTATTTTTGCATCCTGATTATGTATTCCCATTCAGAGTTTCCCACACATAGACTATACTTGGGCGGGCTGCCCAAGTATATTTCGCGACCCTTTTTTTTTTTTTTTTTTTTTTTTATTCGACCACGACGCCATCTGCGATCGATTAACTTGTGGACAATGATCCCTCGCTCCCTTGCTCTGATCTCGCCTCGTTAAGTGGCCTGCCTCACACAGGGTGACTGGCTGTCTATATGATGTGGCCTGCCAACATGGCCACTGTCATAGAGATCATAAATCAAAGCCCTTGATTGGTCTCTGTGTGTCATTCAAGCTCGGGATAACCTCAGCTCAGGTGAGGTAAAGGACTCTGAGTGTTTAGATAGTTCACTTAGTTTAAGTTCTCAGTGGGTCTCAAACAGTGTGGTCACCATTTATGTAAACACATATTTCCATTTGAGGGGGTAGTGATTGATCTAATGGATAGTGAGGTGGGCTGAAGATCGGAAGGCTGTGAGTTCAAATCCCGCCAGGAACACCACCACTAGTGTGCCCTTGAGTGCCATCTTTACGCAAAATGATTATACAAAATGAAAACTTTTTTTTTTTTTTGCGCACCCCCCACCCCCCGCCCGCTGCCACCACCCGCCCAAGTATATTTCAGATCTGTGGGAAACACTGCCATTGCATGTCATCCGTTACTCACCAAGCTTGACTACACTACAGGAAGCTGGCTAATGCCTGACGGAAAAACAAGCTGTGACACGATCGAGGGTTTTCTAAATAAGGCCGTGTACAGTCTTGTTAAGCATTTTGCAAACCCAAATGTGAAAACAGGAAAGGCTCATTTGGTTGGAAATGTGATTTGCAGACAGGTCGGTGTTTCAGGGGAGCGGTCTGTGTGAAAAGTAAAAAAAGCCAAATGGTGTCACGTTGAGACATGCCCTGCGCTTTACTCTAACGTCAGAGAATGAAAGTTAGAGCCCACAGAAGCAGAACTACCTTAACCAATGGGTGTAATAATGTTATGTATATTGAAACAGTCTAATTGCTGAAACCAACAGTCACTTGAGGACCCCTCATTTGACTCCCCTTAGGCCATTCAGTCACAACTGTACTAAACTTCATAAATGTTTAAGCACGATCATAACACTGAACAACAAGATCTCACACATGAAGCATCTTGACTGTAGTGACCTACATTGGGCTATCTGGTGGGTAGCTGGAGGCTAAATGCTACGAGCTGCCTGTGAGACAAAGAAGGGCTAACGTGTCAGCGCGGTGCCAGAGGATCGTTCATATCTCACACTGCCAGATTGTAAAACTGACTTACCATCTCTTTTTCTCGTATTTCTCTTGAAGAAACTCCTTGACCTTCTGCGGTTCTCTGAAGTCTGGTACTGAGGTGGTTCTGTCATCATAGAGGCTCAGCCAGATCCGTTTACATACCTGGAAAACACACAGCGTAGCAGAACAGATGAGACGGAGAAATACATGTGTCAACGTTCATATTTAAGCATTCAATCGTTAGTGAGAGAAGGAATTGAAAAGATATGCTACGGGTAAACAGAGATTATACAGTTAATCATCCATAGACCAGGGCTGCAGTTAACATATATGTCCATTAATGATTAGTTCTGCAGACTACTAGACTAACCTATGAGTTGTGTGTTCGATAACATGTCCAGCAAAGTTTCTCAACATAAAAAGAAATGATGTTTTTAAAATGTGGCTTTTTTTTCAGTCCGATACCCAAAAGATGTTAAACTTAAATTTGAACGAGACTAGAAATCCCGCCCCAGCTGAACATATCCATGTCCGTCCTCGTAGACATTTGTATGAGTTGTCATAAATAAGATATTAATTATTTAATTATGACAACAAATGTGTGTTGTGAGGTCACAGTGAACTTTGAAAACCAATTTATTCAAGATGTTTTGCTCAATTTAAAGAAATTACCTCCCGTAATGTTGCATATTAATGTTTACCCAGGGTACATGCAGGAATCCTGAAGTCAAATGTAACCTTTTTTAAGATCCTTCCCATACATGTTAAGGCCTCATCGCCACTTTGAGTTTTAACCGGTTACCTTAGCGACACACTTTACCTCACATTCACTATATACAGTATTGATTGTCCTTCCTCCTTATCTTCCAACCATTTGGACGCAAACTTGCATTTCCCCATAACGATGTTGCTTAGCAACCGGCGTAAACGGACCTTCGTGCTATCAAGCAGTGAGCGCGCGATGTCCTGTTCAGATGACGTCAAACCCAACGGGATGCCATCAATAAACTACACAGAATCACACCACACACCTACACAATGATTACATTCAGGCACACTGTAGAATACAACCTCTTTGGACCATTTATATACTTATTGAAAACAAGCTACAAAATGTAATGCCTTGGAAAACGCTGTTTAATACTTTTTAACAGCCTTCATTTTCGCTACATTTTTGGAATAGTGTTGTGTGGCTCTGCCCGTTTCTCTTTTAGAGCCAGGGCTAAGTATCGACAACATGTTTTACAGACAGGCAACAGTCCATGAAGAAATATTTTACTGAACTTGACAACGGGTGTATTTGATTAGAATCGCTGACTCCACCTTTAGGTTGATTTGAGAAGAGCATTCATTTATATTTCCAAATGTGACCGTCCAATCAGATAAGGTGGTCCATTACAGGTGAATGAGTGTTTATGTGGTGCCGGCACGAACAAACTTCTTGGCCTCATGTTTGGAAACACAGGCTCGACACAGCTCTGATATGCAAAATCTGTCTAAGTCTAACCTTTCTCTGGCCTTTGGGTTTTTGAAAGCATTCCTAAAGTATTTGCCTAATCCTCTAAAGACAGATTTATAAGCTTCATGCGTGTGTGCCCTCGGTATAGGCTGCTGCATTATAAATGAAGCTATGGTGCTACGAGGAAGTGTGACTCTTATGTTGTATATAAGCTTCTGCTGCTACTGTTATTTCTTTAGCTGGACTTACTGAACAGGCCAGCTTAGATTTTTTAATTAGTAAAATGTGCAAATCCTGAAAAATACAAAAGCCATGTGTCAAGCGCGCCCTGAGGAGAGGCAAAAGGCAACGTGAGGGCGGTAATATTTATGTAGCCGACATAAAGGACGTATGCATCAGCTCCTGAGTCTCCTGCCATGCCTCTGCCGCAGCTTTTAATAGTTTGTTCTCCCCAGGTGGCGTCGCTCTAATTTTATACCCCATTTACCAGAAAGGACCCGTGAATGAGAATGCACTTGGGCTCCTCTGTGGAGAACACATTTGTGTTTGCTACTAAGTATGTATTCATTTTTATGCATTTAATGTTTGGGTAATTAACTCAAGTAGGTCATTGGAATTCAATGCCCCTTTTAATAGCAAGGCTGAAATTAAAAACTGAAATATGTGAGCAAGCAATTGACTACTTTTAATCCAACAGACAGAGCAACTAATAATCCTTGTGAGTTTCTCGGTCTGATGAAAGTGTGAAAAACGAAATTCCCCGACCATCCAGTTCTCCAGACCTCCTGTAATCCCAGAGATCTGGATCGGCTTTCTTCCCCGGCTTGTTCATAACTTTCTTTACTTCAATTCTACTTTTCTTTCAATCTCTAATCTTCATCTCCCCAATCCCCCATTTCTTCTTTCACTTGGATGAGGACTTCTATTTTTGTGGTTCTTTTCTGATTCCTTTTAAACCGTCTTTGAGCACCGGGAAAAGCGCTATATAAAAAATGATGTATTTCAAATCGGTATGATTATTTGTATTCTTGTTTGAGTTGGACAGGTAGTATATAGGGCTGCACGATATATCGTGTGGTGACGATAATCGAATGCGCGATATTCACATATATCACATTTTGACGACGTGCGATATTAAGTAGGCAAATTAACTCAAACGCGTCATGTTACAATTCTTTTGCTGCTTGCTACAAAAGGAAAACTCGCACGGCTCTCATGTCAGGGGTGCTTGAGTGAGTGACATGCAGGCTCTGCGTGCACAGCAAACCACAATCACATCTCTAAAGTTAACGGACCCGGTGATTAAAAGGTAAAAACACTGAATAAAGTAGTTGCATGTGTTTCTCAGTTCGGCGCTGCTAACCGAGCTAGCTCAGCTTGTTGCTCTGATAGCTTAAGATCCAGACGTCCGTGACTAAAATCCTTCATCCGGTTAAATATCGTTAAAAAAAGACCAATTGTATCATTAAAGTTCAAGAAAGGATGGTTTGCAGACAAAAAAAACTGTCTTTTCTTCAATTCCTGTATTTTGTTCATATCGCAATATATAATCGCAGGGGGAACAAATATATATCGCAATATCAGTTTTTTCCAATATCGTGCAGCCCTAGTAGTATACAATGAATATTGACTGAAGCAGGTGTCTGATGCTGGCCTTTGATGAGGACTGTGAAGCTCAACCAAGCAGCTTTAATCAAACCCAGAAAGCTAAATGTCTGAATAGAGCTGCAGGGTTTTATCACAACTCGCTGCGGGGAAACTAGACTAAAGGTTACTAGAAAACATTGATTAAACAGCTTTAGATCGACAAGACACTAGCATGATTGTGATGATTTGCATACCCTCAAAAGCAGCAGGAGAGCTGACCTCAATCATAACAACTTTAACAGGAAGTTCAGTCACCATCACGCTTTACCTCATTGCCGTGTTTCTGTAAGTACTCGATTTCCTGTTGTGTAAAAGTTGTCATGGAGATGGACTTGACTCTGTGGGGTGGATTCAGTCCTCGTCTGTAGGTGGAGAAAACAAAAAGGATTAATTTAAAGACATCATAATCCAGATCCCACCTCTTAGGGTTAGGATGTTTAATAGGCAACAAGCTGCTGGTTGGAAAACATCGTATGGAAAGATTCTGACAGAAAAAGAACATGAATTTTTCAATTCATGACAACTGTAACCTTTGATAAAACACACCCCTCGTAAAGCTTAAAGTCACACAATATTAGGCTTTGAGGGACAGGTCTTTGAAAGCCCATGGGTGACGTCACTGAGACTTTGTCCATATTTTATATATATACATTATAGTCTTGTCAGAATAGGAACAAGCCTACTTTATATATCCTGAAGGAAAGTGGGTTTTGTGACATTTTCTCCATTTAAGAATGAAATAATACAAATAAATAAGAATGTGCACAAAAAATAACATTAATCAAATAAATTGTATGTTTATTATTATTTTTAAGATATTTATTTACACATAGAAAATGAAAGTAAAATGTCCAATAAAATCGAATTGAAAAGTATGTATATAAATGTAAGCAGTTGAAGAAAAACTGTACAAGAAATACATTGTAACTAGTGTTCCAATGTATTTATGTTTGGTGACATTTTCTCCATTTTGAATGCACACAAATTCATAATTGTATTAACATAGGAAGGCAAATTAAAATGTTCATAAAATATACAATTAAATTAAAGATTTAAAGTAAAACTGTGCACTTGTACTCCTATATTATATACAGTATAACATGTATACAACAATATGTATACCTATGCTACTATACCATGTTAAGGCCAACATGTACAAAACTAAAGATTTAGACGTTTCACATAAAAGCAAGCCCTCCCAAAAATGACCACGGTGTAATAACGGATGCTTTATGTTCAGATTTGTCTGAGTAGGGTGAGTTATTGCTAAGTGCTCTTTCCTAGATTTAATTATTTTCTTTTGTGCTTGCCTAGCTTGAACCCTCCAAGGTTGTGTGGTGGCGGAGCAATCCAGAAATAATTTAAGAAATGGCTAAATTCACTTCACTACTCACTCACGGTCCCTTTTTGTTGCTGAGCTCCTGAAAACCTCCTGAGCCGGAGAGTGTGTTGTGTTTCAAGGACAACCACCCAACTGTGAGTGTCATTAGCTACGTTTTAAACAGCTTTCCTAATAGGCTGAACTTCAATTTTGCCTTTCCCTTTTTATGAGGTGAAATCTTACGGCACCTTTGGCCTATCCTCAAGGCAGCCCAGAGAACCGTGTCACCCACTTTGAGAACTACTTTTCTAGGAAACGGGATCCACAGTGTCACGATTACAAACACAATGTAATACACATAAGGAGTCCGATCCTAAAGGCAGTGAAATACGAGAAGAGATGCTAAATTATTCACCGCTGTTAGCCCTACAGCACATGTCCTCATCTCTACTCATTCTTTACACATCCAGCAAACAGCTGACTGGTACACATAGTGTTACAAACCATTGATGCGTCAATTCACATTGAAAAATACAAGACAGAAAAAAGGTATATAGTTATACAAGGACAAGAGCATCCATGCTTTTATAGGAAAGTGTTCCATATGTCCCTTTCTAATAATGTAGTAGATCAATGAATATTTCTAAGGGGAAGACCTAATTATCTTGTTACGCCGCAAGGACATAAACATAATGGAAAACACTTCAATGTGACGCTTTCTTACAATTAAATTCAAAACCTTTATTTATCAGGTAAAATCCCATTGAGATCAATTATCTCTTTTTCAAGGGAGACCTGCAGCAGTAGGTTCCACAAGAAGACATAAACAACAGAACAACAAAAGGACATCATACAGCAAAATGTACAGGGATTACAATTTACATATTTAACCACAAGTACAGGTACCAACAGCATCTGATTTGAGTAGCATCCAACCGAGCGTTAAAAACTGTGTAGTGGTACTAGCTTGGTAATTCTCCATTCTTTTTGCAGACTGTTCCCATGTTAGTGGAGGCTGCAACATCTAAAAGCTTTCTTCCCTAAGACAGTCCTAAGCACTTGGCACATTTCATAAAACCACAGCATGCGATCTCAGGCAATAACTGCT